TAGGAAATATGCACTGAAATGTCATGGGATAAAGGGACCTGATATATATAACTTCCTCTCAAATGGCCCAGCAAGTAGAGAGAGAAATTGATGATAAATAGGTAGGTAGGTAGGTGGATAGGTAAGTAGGTCAGTAAGTAGATACTGTACTATCTTTCTGAGAGATAAAGAATGATAAAGCAAATGTGGCAAAGGGTTGAAAGTTGACAAAGGATAAGTGGGACAACTTTGTACTATTCTTGCAAAGTTTCTGTGAGTTGGGAATTAATTCAAAATAAAGAATTTAAAATTTTAAAAATCAATAAAACAGACTGACACTTTTTAAACATGTTATTCCTGAACAATGGGAGCACCATCTTAATGGGCAAACATGAGCGGCATTTTCAACAAAGCCTGAGGTGACAAAAAAATCACCACTTTCCCACCATTATTTAACTTGTACTGGAGGTGCCAGTCAACAGAATAAACTAGAGCAAGACCTTACAGGTGTAAAACTTCAAAAATAGGGGAAACATCACCATTGCAGACCATATGATTCTAAAACCTAGAAAACTGGGCAGGGGTCAGGATTCTGTAAGACATCTGAATACAAAACCAATATACAGAAATCAGTAGCTTTCAGATGTAATAGAAAAGTGCTGTAGTTTGACTTTTGTCTAAGCATTTCGCAAAAATCTGCTATTTAGCTTCAGCTTCAGTCTTTAAAGGACAGATAACCAAATAACTACTTCAATGTCTTTGCCATCATCACAGCTAATCTTTGTAACAGCATCAGTAATACAAAGCATTCCTCCCTCAGTTGTTTTCCAGAAGTAAGAACAACACAGCATATTATACCACAATTACCAGAATTACTGTGAGATAAGCAAAGAGAGAGCAAGCCATAGTTTTCATTTTTTTAAGGGCAAAGAAGTTGCTGTACAAGGGGTTTTCAAAGCTGCCTTTTTCTTGTACTTACACAAAACTTTCAAACGAGATAGAGAAACCAACATAGCATGTTGAAAATCATCTCTCAAATAAAAGAGAGAAGAGATAATGTACTTGTTAATATTTGGTGTTTGCAAATAATAGCAAACAGCAGGTAGCTCTAACATATGGCAGAAAAATACATACAACATGTTGCCATTACAGAAAGAAAAGGAAAACCTCATATTATGTTTGTAAATACAGAGGATAGGATCTTACCACACATCAACCTTAGGTGAGCAGTTGGGTGGGCAGTTGAGAGACTGACCTGTTCTACACTGGTTGTTTTTTGAAAACAGGTGTACCACTAGTCATTCTTAGATGTTACTCCTTGGGTGAAAAAAATAAATAGAAATATTTTACCCACTTCCTTCTGTATTAAAAGGGTAATAGAAGAGTCTTCATTTCAACCAATGCCAAGAGCACTATAGGAGTCCCAAGCCATTGGCATCTCATATGTAGCCACAAGGATTCCCAGTGCTCAAACAAGGCTCCTCAGGAAACTCTTGAGCACCATTCAAAAATGTCCACCTTGTACCCAAGATCCTGTACCCAAGGTCCTTACACTTTCTTCTCCCAGTGGGACTCACCTGTGGCCACCAGATTGCCTGTCCAGACCCTGAAGTCTGAAGTCATTTTTTCCAAATGAGTCCACACAGAAGCTCATGCATTTCATGGTGCCTAGCTGGGTAGTATTGACTGATACCAAGACAGCCCAGAGAGCAGGCATGATAGTCCACCCCACAGCCTTTGTCTGGGCTGTTTTAAAAAGAAAGAAAAATCAAGCAGGATGAAAGACTATCTGAGTGGAAGCCAGCCCAGCCATTCCTGCACCATGCAGACATTGTGCCATGAAAACACCTGGAGAGTACTTCCTTACAGGTCTGATCTCTTTTTAGGATGATGATTTCTTTATCATTCTCTGAGAACCTGCTATATGTGGTTGGGGAACAAACTGACACTGTCAAGTGATTATAAGCATAATAAATAGTAAATAGCTACATTTGGTAAGTACTTACTATGTTCCAGAAACTGTGCATACTCTCTCACAACCGCCCTGCCCAGTAGAAGGCGTTCTCTCCATTTTACACATAAGAAAACTAAGGCTTAAAAGAAGTGAAGTGACTTGCCCACAATTACTCCACAGGAAAGCAGCAGACCAGGAGAGGAATCCAGGAGTGTGTGTTCCAGGGTGCTTCTAAGTGTTTCTGCCTTGGAGCAGGAATACGTTTCCTTGGAAGGAGAGCTCACAGAGGATTCTGAGTAAAGCTGGAATAAATCACAGGGTCAAGGACTGATGAGGTTGCAGGTGAGCACACTCAGACCAAGCATGCAGCAGACTCAAGTTGGCACTAGCCAGGGGCAGATGCCATCCACTCAGAGCTGCAAGCCTAGCCAGGTGTTCTGAGCCCCTCCCTGTGTGCCCACCTACCTTATGTTCCCCATCTGCTCCTGCTCCCTCTCTTCTGCATGGCACAGACGGTCACAGACAGGTCTCTCCAGGGCCAAAGCAGGTTGTTTCCTTCAAGCTTCACTGCCACTTCTGTCCTCTGCCCAGAAGCCCAGCACTCAGCACCCAAGCTCTCCTGAAGGAGGAGCATGCAGAGACCCCAGGCTCTGAGCAAGGCCTTCAAAATCCTAGTAATAGGAGGTATTGATTTAACATTGAGCAGCCATCTTAAATGTTAACCGCCATCTTATAAATTTCGCTTTCCTGCACTTCCTCCTACCGAACTTCCCTCATCCCCTGTTAGTGACCTACCCCATGGTACAGTAACCCTAAGTCAATCCCAGAAGGACACGACCCCTTGACTCTGGAGAGCCTCGAGGTGCCACTGCACAACAACTCCAAACCCCTGCCCATAAAAGCTGAACACCTGAATATTTTAGGCACCTCTCTCCTCTCTACAGAGAGATGGCCTTTAATTGTCACCTTTGACAAATAAACCTTTTCGTGGATCTCTGCCTGGTCTCAGTCCTTCATTTCTTGCTTGCTCCCCTCTCACTTTCTCACTTTCCTTTCAAGTACCTCAACCCAAGTCCTGCCCCAGCCCATGTCTCCCACCAACACAGGGGAAAATTTCCAGCTCTCAATCAAGAACACATGAAATTCCGCCAGAGGAGAGGATCCCTTACTGCAGGCCAGTTGTGCCCAGAAAAATTCTGAAGGCAACCCAAACATTTGAATCCCATCCACAACATTAAAAGGAAGAAACAGGGCCACCATCACTCCATAAATCACCCTCCACCTGACACCTCAACTGCTCAGCGAAAACAAGATCAGCAATGTTGAACTTCCACTTAAAACAGGATCTTGGGAAGGTGCTTACAGGGAATTCCTAGATCCTGTCTCCAAGCATTCAGATTCAGTGGCTCTGGGATGAAGCAAATAATCTGTATTTTTTAATATGTATTTTTTTAGTTGTAGGTGGACACAATACCTTTATTTTGTTTTTATGTGGTGCTGAGGATAGAACCCAGTGCCTCACACATGCTAGACAAGCGCTCTGCCACTGAGCCACAGCCACAGCCCATAATCTGTATTTTTTCATGAGCCTGTGAGGGGATTCCTATGCCATTAGAATGACAAAATACAAGCTTAAATGTCCATTAAGAGAGACCTGATTTAAATTTAAAGATCATATAAAGGCACACCATACAGCCCTATAAAGGGAGATCCTGTTTAAAGGGCAGGTAAAATATGCATGTAATTTGCTTTTTTTAAAGAATTTAACCTTTATTTATTTGTTTTTATGTGGTGTTGAGGATCAACTGAGTGCCTCACACATGCTAGGCAAGTCATCTACCTCAGCCCTGTAATTTGCTTTTAAATGCACAAAATATTCTGGAATGAGAAATTATAACGTTACATAGAAAGTAAGGAATCACATGGTTAAGGGACAGGGATGGGAGGAAATGCTGATGTCCTCTACAATGGTTTAGAAATATTGCCTATTCCTAAATCAGTGTTGGAGTGTCTTCTCCTGTTAACACTAGATGAGGAACCGAGCCACACCTTCATTTTTGCCACCTCAACACACCATGCAGATGCAGATGTGCCACTAAGCGGACACTCAGATTAAAAAACCCTGATGCCTATCATCTTCAGTGGGGCTTGAAATGCCAGACCCAACTCTGTAATTCCCGGCTCCTGGACAAATTATTCATCCTTCCAGATGACATTTTCCATATCTGTAAATTGGACTAAAAACAGATGCACCTCGGATATGTAATGCGGTCACCGTAGACAAACTCCACTTCAGCTGGTGGTAGCATAATAATTACTACAGCATTGACTCTCCCACCATAAACAGAAAATGCAGAAGCCGCATCATCAGAATGACACTAGCTTCACTTTCCTCCTAACACCCCAGAAAGGTGAGACTGGTCATTTACAACTGAGGCTAATAGAGACCTAGGGGCGACCCCCGAAACACTCGCACCACTACTGGGCCTAGGGTAGCACGAGGGCACTTCCGGGGTGGGGCCTGAGTGGAGGCGGAGCTTACACCTGGGGGTGCTGATTTGGCATTCCACTCGCGAGACTTGAACCCTAATAGGTCTTCACTGGGCATCTGAGGTAAACGCGAGGAAAGCCGAGAACTGGACACCGGAAGCCGAGACCTAGAACAACTCTTTTGCTCTGCCCCCTAAGGGCCCATAGAGGTATTTCCCCACAGAGACCCACCAATCACAGCCAAAGCTATTGGCCAGCAGACGCCTCCCATCTGGGGCGGAGCTCCGTAGGGGCGGAGCTTAGCGTGACACTTTGCGACTTGGCTTGCGCTGCGTCGCTTGCAATACAATTGGCCGTCTAGGGCGCATCCGGGTCTGTGTAAAGAAGGCCTAAGGTTCCAAGGTGCTAGGCGGAGCCCAGCAGCGGGCGCAGATCCACAGAAGCCAGGACTGCGGCCCATCCAAAAGCTCAGCCCACCTCACCTATCCCCCGGGCCTGTCTGTCACCGCGCGCAGGACCGCGCCGCCCCGCACTCATTTTGCCCCGAAACCAGAGCATCCACCACAGCGCCGTCGACATGATGGGCATGCGGCCACGCAGCCCCAGTGCCTGCTCTGCGCCCTGGTGGGGACCACAGCCTGGAGGACCCGGCCCTGCCAAGCGCCGCCGATTAGACGACCCTGCAGACCCCGCAGAGCCCCCGGCGGCACCCACCCTGCAAGACTCCGCAGGAGCAGCAGACGCCACCGCGCTCACCTCCGTGGTGGTTCTGGCCGCGGGCTGCGCCTTACAGGTACCCCTGGACGACGTCGACCTGGTACTAGAGCCCGCGCCAACCTCGGTCCTGCAAGTGTCTCTCCAAGGACACACCCTCATCCTGATCCCTGAGGGCCTCGTGGGCCCCACTGACCAACGCCCAGGAGGCCAGGGAGACTGTCCTGATGACCCGGAACTGGGCGCCTTTCTGAGCGCCCCCGGGGAGGACGTGGTTGTAGAGCAGGGATTCTTCTGCGAGTCTGTCCCAGAGATCGCCAGCCAAGAAGAGGCCTATGAGGAAGACGCAGATCCTGAATCCCTGGAGTCTTGGATGGACCCTCCAGCCGGCTCAGCTGCTGGGCTCCTCCCCTCCACTGGAAGAGTATCCAGGCTGTTTCCTCTGGCCCCCACCCTTAATTTGGGAAGAAGCTCGCCTCGCCCCGTCTTAGACCTGGATTTCCACCTTCTGAGGCCTTTCCCCAGCTCACCGCTGCAACCTCTACCTCCCTCTCCAAGTCCAAGTCCAAGTCCCCAGGCACTTCCGGAGCGTTCTCCAGGTCCTCGGAGCAAAGCCTGCAGACGCCTGTTCCAGGAATGAACTGACTTCCAGGATCCTTCGCCACCTTACTGGGGTCCAGGTGAGGGTCTTCCCAAGTCTTTGGGTGTACCCTGCACAGCCTACAAGGTTAGATAACGGACAGATTTTTTTTTTTTTTTTTTTTTTTTTTAATGTAGGCAGCACTGCAGAATTGTGGATCAATGGCCGACTAGAAAGTCCAGAAGAAAGATCACCTTGGCCAAAAAAGAAATGTTCTTCTTGAAATACAGTGTACTTTCGGATCCAAAGATTGCTACTTGGGTCCTTTGCCATAAAGAAGTCATCAACAATTCGTTCCACCTCGGCTAGTTTTGCTTCAAAACTCAGCTTTTAGCACTTTTCTCTAGGAATCCATTCTTGAGGCAGCACCGAAAGCTGCATCCCTTTTCTCCCAAATTCATTAGTAAATTTTTTTTCTTTAACTGGGTTGGGTCCTCAGCTACCTTCTCACCAAGATCTTTTCCTTGAGGAGGCCCCCACCCACTTTGAGGACTCTAGAAAGTTGTACTTAGACAAATGTTTGTTCTTTACAAAACCAGACACAGAACTGGGAAAGATGATCATGCACCCTCATTTTTTTTTCTTTTTAATGATTAGGTTAGCAAATAATTTAACTCTGTTGTGCTTTGTTTCTTTCCCAAAGAACCAGTTTTTTTCCATTTATTTCTCTTATGTATTTTTAATATAATTCTACTGTTACGAAAAAGTTCATAATTCTAACATTCTGCATTTTTATAGTTATAAGATTCCAATTTATGTTGTATATTGTTAATAGTGTATAGAAATAATTTATTTTTGGTTGATCTGGTATCTAACAAGATTACTTAATTTCACTAATGATTTAACAGTAGATTGTCTAGGATGATTGAGAAGAACAACAATATCTCTAAATAAGAGACTGTTTTCTCTTTTCACAAGCTTTATATCTTATTTTTCCTTAATCTTTTGTATTGGATATTAATTTATATCCAGGGTGAACAGTATGTCTGATAGGGGCATTCCAGTCTTATGTTTTATGTTGACATTTATAAATTTCCCTATAAAGTATTATCTTTACTGTACATGATTGGTCTGTAGCCCTTATCCTATTGAAGAAGTTAGTTTTTAATCTTTCTGATCAAGAAAAAATGTTGGATTTCTGTTTGGATTTTGGCTAAGTGACTACAGAGACTTTGTCAAATTATTTTAAATGTTGGATTTAAATGAATTGATTTTTTAAATTAATTATTTTTTCAAGTATATAATAGTTAACATGGAACCTTCAGGTCATTGGAGACTCACAAAAACTTGGCAAGAGAACACATGAGACCAGGGTTGGGACTTCAAGGATTTAACAAATTGGATGCCCTTGTGAAGACTTAAGAAGAGAGGAGTGAAAGAAGAAAGTGACTGCAGGGTCATTTTAGGTCTTAAATGTTAAGTATTAACATTTTTTTTCCCTGTATACATAAGTTTGTAGTGTCTTTTTTAATAAATTCCTGTGGTGATTTATACTGATAGAATTTTTAATGACTATGTATTTTTGCAGTTCTGCTCTTCCATGTAATTTTATAAGACTGTAATCTCACTCTGGGTTCTTTTTCTTTTTTGTGGGGGGAGGGGATGCCTTTTGTTTGCTTGGTTGGTTTGGTTTGGTTTTTATGCACACCACTCCTAATGTTAAAATGTCCATAATTTTGTCAAGTTTTAAAACCAAATAAACTACTACTGAATAAAGCTAAAGTCAACAAGATTCTAGGGGGTTTTTTCCCTGTTCATCATTAATAATTATTGTTTAGATTTAGCAAAATATTTTACCAATATTTAGCAAAATATTTTTTCTTTTCTCATATTCTATTCTTGCATTGCTTGCCTTCATTCTGTTCTAAACTGTCCTCTTTTGTCTTCTTACTATGGTATACTTTTTTTTTTTTTTTTGAGACATGGTCTCATTATGTTGCCCAGGCTGGTCTCTGACTTGTGAGCTCAACTGAGCCTCTCACCTCAGCCTTCTGAGTAGCTGGGGCTATAGATGTGCACCACCATACTGGACTACTATGGTTTTGGTTTAGGGCTTTTTGTTTGTTTGTTACAGGGATTGAACCCAGGGGTGCTTAACCACTGAGCCACATCCCCAACTATTTTCTGTATTTTATTTAGAGACAGGGTTAAGTTGCTTAGGGCTTCATTAAATTTCTGAGGCTGGCTTTAAACTCATGATCCTCCTGCCTCAGCCTCCTGAGCCACTGGGATTACTGGGTGTGCCACCATGCCCAGCTTTATCCCTCAATTAGTATTGTCATTCTTTTGTATAGAATAAGCTGTTTTCACTTTAGTATTTCTCTTGACTTTGATGTTCTACAGTTTCAACCTGATATGCTTAATTGTATACAGTTTGCCTGCTTCGACACAGTGAGTTTCTAAGTCTGGAAAACTCACCCTTTCTTAAAGTCTCAATTTTAAAAATGAGTCCATATCTCTTGAACCTTTGAACCCTCTCCCATCCCTGGAACTCCTAATAGAAAAATTCTGGTGCCACTGATCAGTGTACTCCTCCATGTCTCTTATTAACTATATTATTATTCTCTTTTATCATAGTGTACTTTTTCTCTTATATTTAACTGTTTTATTGTCTGTTTTCAAAATTCTGTTTCTTTATAAGAGAGTCCTCATTTCAAATACTGCATTTATCATTTTCAAGGCTTCTAATTAATGGGTCTTTAAAATATACTTTCTTTCATTTCACACTTTTTGGTCAATGTCACATAAATGTTTTGCTTCATGGATGTTAATTTCCTTTGCTTCTAGAAACATTTACACATTCTTGTTTTAAATTCTGTGTTAATTTCACTAATTACATTTCCTCAGGCCAAAAAAATCATCCAACTATTTGGTAGAATCTAACAAAATACTGGTTTCTTCCTGAACAAAGACATTTTGGTTTTTAGACAAATTTTGAAAGAAAATTCATTTTCTGCTGCATAGGTGAATTTTGCATTTGCCTCTTTCTGGTTCTCTAAGACTCTAAGAGTTGAACATGGAGTACATTTTAATTTGCCACTTAAAAGTCATAGTTCTTGTCCTCAAACATCAGATGGTCCAATTTCCAATTTTAAACTGTTAAGTCCCATCATTCCTCTATAGGTAGGACACAATAAAAAACTACAAAATTTTATAGGACACCTATAAAATTGCACAGTGTAAGTTTTTATAAGATGATGGGACATAGTGAGTCAGTGTAGTTATGATACTGGGGTGGGTTCTCTGTATCCACACCCCCTCAAGACTGCTGGGAGAGGGGCTGGGGTTGTAGCTCAGTGGTAGAACTCTTAACTCCCATGTAGGAGGCACTGGGTTGGATCCTCAGCACCACATAAAATAAATAAATAAAATAAAGACATTGTGTCCATCTACAAATAAAAATATATATTAAAAAAAAAAAAAAAGACTGCTGAGAGAATTAGCAGCTAACAGTTTGTTCAGGAGTTTCTCTTAGCCTCCGTGGTTACCCCACTCCAATGACTATTCAACAGGCACAGCCTACATGCTTCAAATTGACACGCCAAAGGGCAAATCCAATTCTAGGACTCTTAGTGAGTTGGCCAGAGGCATTTGTTGCACCCACACCCCAGTTCAACTCTTCCTCCACCTGCCCAGTCACATTTTCTTTGTACTCCCAAATTCCTACATGCAAATCTCCATCTCAAACATTCCCAAACTTGAGTTAAGACACCTAGTGCCAGGATTTGTCATAGGACACAGTCACTAAAATAGGTTTCAGGGTTGAATCATAGAGCATGAAGAGCCCATGGTATGCTAAAGCAAAGCAGATAAGATCTTAATCAGTATTGATCTCACTGGGACCCTAGTAGAATAAAATACACTGGAATTGGCTATATCCCAGGCACTGAGAAATTCAGAGCACAGAGTTACAATAAGAACTAATATTTCAAAAGTACTATGGAGCCAGGCCCAGTGGCCCATGCCTCTAATCCCAGAAGCTGGGGAGGCTGAGGCAGGAGGATTGCAAGTTCAAAGTCAGCCTCAGCAACTTAGCAAAACCCTATCTCAAAATAAAAAACAAAAAGGACTGGGCATGTAGCTCAGTGGTTGAGTGCCCTGGGTTCAATCCCTGGTAACAACAACAAAAAAAAGTACAGTGGAATTGAATGGCCATTTCTAAAATAATCAATCCATTTGGAAAAAGAAGGATGGTTAATTACCTATGAGATCCAGGCAGTCTCTTCAACTCATACAATTAGTCTTACATCTCTTGGAGCTAGGGGTAGGAACCTAAGCACCTGACCCACAGTTTACTGAACAGA